CATACTTAGGTGTGAATGTTTATTTAATTTGTAAGTAGGTAGAGACCGGAGAAGTCGCGYDWTTGTAATTTYCACTCAGGAGTGGAAAATTTCTTCTCCGAATATTATACAAAGTTTCAGCAACCTTTAAATTCATTTATCATTTAAATATTTCTTGTATTTCTTCCATATATTGCTGATACTCTGTACCGTTAGATATAAATAAGTATCGAACGATTCAGATGTCTTTGCGTTTTCTTAAAAATTAATTTTTTTTCGAAAAAGTGAAGATAGCTGAATACGTTGGGTACTTACTTAATATTAAGTATATTAACACTTTGCTCTTTAGTAATTCCTACTGAAAATACTTCATTTTTTATATATGTATAGTAAATATAAAGTAGAATAAAGATAAAAGATAAAAGTGATCGAGTAAAAAAGTAAGACCATAATATGTATTACAAAGTTTCTGCTTTTGTTTGATATTATTTAATTTTTTAAATGCAAAGTGTTAATAATAGGTTCATCGATTAGATCAAATATCTGTTGAGGCATTCGAGTAAATGTTAAAAAAAGCCTCACAGCAGCGTTTAGGSYATGAAGAAAGAAGAGGCTAAATGCCGAAGAGGCTAATGCCGAAGAGGCCCCCACAAATTTGTGGTATCAAGTGGGCAACTACTAGACTATTCTGTTATTTTCAAAGGTTCAACAGCTAGTTCGAACTTTTCGAGAATAGCTCTCTAGTCATATTTTATATTTTATTACTTTTTTGCTCGTCATTAATTTGTAGTTGTAATTGGAGATGATGGACCATTCCATCTCCTTGGGACACCAAATTTGTGTCTATATCGTCCAAAAAATGCATATGTGTTAGTTAGAGTATAATTCTTACATTTAATTCACTCAGTTTTCATGATAAATGTATATAATTGATACATGTATTATCGGTTTTCAAAGTATCGTGCTTTTTTTATTTGTAATGCATAAGTAAAATATTACAATTTTTGTATTATTAAACTTTGAAGCCTAAATAATGTTCGGTAAATATTACAGTAATTTCTTTTTTCTTGTTTCGTCTTTAAAATTTTTTACTGTAATCGTATTTTTTTAAATTTGCTATTTTTCTTTTCTATAAAATGCAGTTTAAAAGTATTTCACAATAATTATTAGATATTATTTTTTTTAGTAACTTGGTATTTTTACTTTTCCTATTTCTGTATTTTTTTTATTTTATGTAAATGTAAAATCACACGTTTAAATTTAATTGCATTACAACGGTAAATTGAGATTTGATAAAAATAAGTAGAGAATTCAATTGAAAAGTGCATCTGCGAATTGGATGATTTATCTGTTAGGCTATTTTATCACTTGATTGTATAATTTATATAGTTTTCTTCTTGTTACAGGTGATCATCGTTGGATTTAATAACAGACCTTTGTGATTTGGTTCTATTTGAACGTTTTGAATGATTATTTTTTTAAATTTATGTAAAAATGCATTTCTGGAGGCACACACATGTTTATACACTAAAAGCTAAATATAATTATTTAAAATTCTATTACAACATAACTATACTATTATATACTATCAAAGAATACTCTATTCTTTGATAGTTTGTTCTATCATAACTATATTTTTTGATAGTACTGTACCGTCATCGGGTTAAGTATCTACTATCGCCCACTGTTGATCTCGGTAGTAACTAAAATGAATCTAGGTAGATAAAAACGGGGACTTGTGAGCTTCTATGTACTTCTGTATTCATTGCTAATACGTGTTATTATTTATTAATATAAATAAAAATGAAATAAATTTTTAAAGAAATTTGTTTAATTATCCGATTATGATAATTTACCGATAGTAATACTTTATCATTATTACAAAGAACGAACTTTAATGAAATTGGTCCTCTACTGTCATAAAATATATTAGTAGGTGGCGCGTCGTACGATTATCAACCAATAGCAGCACGTTCCTTAACGTCAAAGAAAATATGGCGATTGGTATTATCTTCGGTGATCTGAAATAGAATAAGCCTGTAGTGTGTCAAATTTTATTTCTCTGTTACTTTGAGATACGAAATATTATAAATATATTAAACGACTTCATTTATAGAATTGCAGGTACGTTAAATATAATTCTTACATTTAATTCACTCAGTTTTCATGATAAATGTATATAATTGATACATGTATTATCGGTTTTCAAAGTATCGTGCTTTTTTTATT